TATGTTTTTAATTTTTATTATCTATTTATTTTATTTAATCATCATATTATGAAAGTTTTTTTATTTTTTTATTTTTTAGGGATAATATAGATAAACATATAAATTATTTTTAATTCTTTAATTTAAAAAAAAATAAAAAAACAGTTTTTTTGAAATAAAGAAAGCAATTAATTAGATTAATATTTTTTTATATTAAATTTCTCGATATTTGAAAGTTAACTAATCAAGAGTTGGGTTGCATTAGATTAAGAGAAAACTCTTCAAATACTTATTTTTTAATTCATAAGATTCACATTCAACATTTTATTTTAAAAAAATAAAATTTCTTTTATTTAGATAAACATATAGTTTGTGTAAATTAGATTAATGTTAAAAAAAAAAAGAATAATCTTGATTTTGACTTGTGATTGTGAATGTGAAGCACGCAAAAAGAAAAAAAAATTAAATAAAGGCAACCTCATCAGTTCCACATCTAACAAGTATGGACTTATGAAGTTCACATCTAAAAAACTTGAACTGTTTGTTAACAGTCTAATAAGACAAGAACTACATCAAATCTCTGTGCTGGATTTCAAAATTCAACTCCTGAGCAAAAACAAGTTATTATGTGTCTGTGTGTTTATTTAACTATCAAGCAACAATTAATGCATGTCTGTCATCTCCCTAGTTGAAGACTTTGAAAATTTGCACCGTTGAATTGGCCCCTTACTAGTTTTTGTTGAGATCAAATTATATCATACGGGACATGAGTTATCAGTCAATTCTTTATGTGATTTGATGATAAAGTTATTTATATTTTTAATTATATGTTCAAAGTTTAGTTTTTAATTTTTATATATTGAAAAAAAATAAATTATTAGATTGTAAAATATTAATTAATAGATAAAGGGATACTCTCTTATTATTAAGAAATTTGTTTAATTAATACAATAGTTGATACAATATTTTATAGTTAATTTAAACTACAAAACTCTTTTATTTTTTGTAAAATATAATTCTACACTTTGAAGATTATCCTGCATCTCAGGTATCCTATGAAAACTCTTATCAATTGGTAGTTCCAAAGATATTATCACTTGAACCAACTGTCTAAAAGATATTATTTTGTAGAGTGCAAACAATGGGCATCCATCAAACTTAAGCAAACAGTAGAGAAAGTTTCTTTGATATTTACCACTATATATTGATGCGAATTGGTAACTCTTTATTTTGCCATGTGCTTGACAACTGATTGACTGCATTTCTTAAGAAATGGAAACTATGGTGGGGTTGTGAAGTTCTGATTGTAGGATTAATATTCTTCATTTAGGCTGTCTGGTTAGATAATTAATTTTATAAAGTAAATTTTTATTAAAAAATTATTAAAAAGTATTATATAAAAAATTAATAATTATTATATAAAAATTTTAAAGTTTTATAATAAAATTTTGTTAGAATTTTATTGGGTTATTAATATTTTTGTATTTAATAAAATATTTATATTAGAAAGATTGCCAAGTGAATCTTACATAGGAAAAGTTAAAAGAAAACTTTTTTTCTTCAAAAAAATATAAGAAAAAATGTTTATGGATTAGGAATTGTATTTGGGAAATTTAATAAAAATTAAAAGTGTTACTTTTACTCTCGTGTTGAAATATTAATTTGTAAAAATAGATAAATAAGCTTATAAAAAGAGAGTTTAAAAAATTTTAAAGAGAAAAGTGTCCCAACCAAAGACCCCCTTAGCTTTTTGTTTTAGCTGAAATTTGCATTCGACATGCTCCAAATTTAAATTTTTGTAAAGGTAGGACTCCATTTTAATAATATCTTTTTTTGTTGATAAATAATAATAATAATAATAATAATAGACATTTTGATATATACAAAGATATTAAGTTTGTTATACTAAAGTTTAAGGACTAGTTTTCTTTAAGACCTGCAAAGTTTATGGACTAAACTATTTTATCAATTTTTAACAGCCTCGTCAAATAATCTAACAAATACCATTAAATGTTGAGAGTGCATTTGGGATTACTGTGATATGTTATAGTTATAATTGCAATTGTACCTGTGCTGAACCATATTTTACTATAACAATAACTTATCATTATTATGGTATTTGATTATTTAATTTTTAAAAATATTATAAATGATATATGATAAATTTTATTAATTATTAATTAAAATTTAAAAAATATTGTATGATGTATAATCACTAAAATAAATAACACTTACTACTTATTAATAATTTAGGGTTTTTAGGTTTCTTGTGATAGGTATTCTTTTTTATTTCGTAGGATAGCAACTCATAAAGAGAAAATGGCTTTTTAATTTTTTTTATAAAATCTTCAAATAAACTAGAAGTTAAGTTTAAATAAGATATTATAAATTGTGATATAATTAAATTAAACAAAATTGAGTTGTAATGGATAATTTTATAATTGTATTAAATATTAAGTGTTGTCGATGAAAATCATACTCATAAAACTTCAAAATGAGACTTCTACCTTTATGCATAAAATTACTGTGGACCAATGTGACTTTTTATAGTTTTTGAAAAAAATGGTAAAAAAAAATAATTGAATGCATATATATCTAAAAGCACTATACAACTACAAAAAAAAAAAACCCTTCAACTGTAATCTCGAATCCTCCCTTAGTTTGATAATGCTAACTTGTAACTGCAGCTATAGGTTTTTTGGCTCTTTAACATCCTAAAAATATATAAATTATATTTTATATATTTAATATTTATTTTAAGCACTAATCTGCCCTGATCAAAAAGTTTGGGAACTTGTAACTCTAAAATATAATTAAGGGGCTTCTGTGCAAAAAATTGGTAAGTTTGGAGGGCTTACCATAATTTCTCACCTGTCACACGATATTTTGCCAATCTGTGATTTTTTCATTGATTTGCCATACCATATTTGGATAACTTTTACTTATAATTTTAATATATTATTAAATAATAAATTTATACAATATCACAAGTCATAATAAAATAAAAAAATTAATTATTAAATGATATGTTATATTATATGAAATAAATTATTGTATTATTCCTAAATCATCCCTCTAATTAATCTTGACTGTTAATATCTTTTCTTAATGAACACACTAATTTATTGCAAAAGATACAGCTAAATTTTACAGCGGATTCCGTAGTAGTTAGGACAAACCAAAACCATTACCAATTCAATGGCAAAAGTAACCAATAAGAATATAAAATTTGAGTAATGATCTGCGGGACAAATTTGCGAGATGATTTTGAAGGACGACAAGTGAAAGCAGGGTCAAATTGGTAATTATTGTTGGGACTGTTTCACTTGTCGTCCCCAAAATCGTCCCGTAAATTCGTTCTGCATATCATTACTCATAAAATTTTAATGGTTTACTAACAATGTACCAAACTTCATTTTTTATTAATCAAGGATGTGAACTTAAGAAAGTTACTAACCAAATAAATGAACTCCTAAAATTTAAAAGTCAAGGATATGAACTTTTAAATTTTATAGAAATAATTGGATGTCAATGCTAATGTGGCACATTAACACCATTAATGGACCCGGTTGCATCGCTGATGAGTCAAACAAATCTCATTTGGGTAGAATGTGTATTAATAAACTTGGACTTTGTTGCTTCATCAAAGTAGTATGATGATTATGGCTAAATAGGATGTGCATAAACTCATATCATAAAATTATTTGTTTAAGTAGTGTAACTTCCCGAATCCTACATTGGTGGAGAATTGTAAATAAGTTTAGTATATAAGTGTGGAAACCAATTATTACTAACAATATCAAGTTATATTATAAGTTTATGATATGCTATATTGTTATATAATTAAAGGTTTACTCAAGATATTATAAGCATCCAATCATCTAATAACCCATTTCATACTCTTTTAATAATATATCATAATAAATTGCTTTGAACCATTTCGGCCTTCCTAGGGTTTCTCCCATGCACTGCTTTTAGGGTTGAGAGCAATGGTGGCGGGTTTTCCTCCCTAGGGTTTCTCTCCGGCAGAGGAGTTCATCCCTCCTTTCTTCTTACCCCTCCTTTCCTCCTCCTTCATCTTGTCACTATCTTGCTTTGGAAACTCCAACCCAATGGACCACAAGGCAATGGCATATTTGGGTTTTTCTAGAGTTTACATCTATTGATTTTTGAAGGTTGCGATTGGAATTGATCTTGCTGATGAAATGGGTTTCTCCTATTTAACAAGAAAGAATCTCGCTTTGGCACATCTCCTCGGATGGGATCTTAGCAAGGGTCAAATTCAGTGAAATTGGTTCACACCAATTCCCGATCAACTAGCCGATTACAGAAGGATAGAAATGCTGTTGGTAAAGCCAACTATGGTCTACATAGGAAGCCTGCTATTTAAGCTGACAAAGGGGCTCTAGTTCCCTTATTGAGTTTCGACAGCATGGGTTTGAAGAAGATCAACAATGATGGGAACATGATTGGCTGTATTTGGCGACGACTAGGGGGCCTTGTGTTTGCCTGGAGAAGGCCCCTCCTATTTGTTCTTCTTTAATAATAAGTTGGACGGCAACTTGTGAGTTGAGGACTGTTTGTTGTCAGAATCCCCTGCTCTCCCCAAGAAGCTGGTTAAATAGGTAAGGATACCCATTAGTTCTTAATGCTCATAGTGACTCCCCCTTCTACATTAGTAGCCCTATTTAGCTCATACAGCGATTGTAATTTCAATATTTAGTTCCAGATGACTCTCTTTGCTTAACTGTCTATATCCATCATTGGTATAATTTAAATCTGTTATTAATGCTGTAAGTTATGTTTCTGATTTAATCTTTAAGTTATTTTGCTTTTGGCTATAATGCCATGAGATGGAGATTCTACTGTAATTTTTATTACTTAATATATTTCTCTATTTCCCATAAAAAAATTAACATATCATAATTGTTTTTTTGGTTTCCCGCCCGGTATCTGAGGCTTTGCCCCGACTATTCCGGACTCGACCAGCTGTGGCGCACCAGAATGGTGGGTGGGTCTCCCAACGAAAGCTGTTGCGTACACAAGGTTTCGAACTCGAGACCTTACTTAAGCTGGAACAAGCCGCTTGCCACTTGATCCAATCCCTCGTTGGTAACATATCATAATTGTAAGCTTACACTCTTATATGGTATTCTGATTATGGCACTCTTGTATCTAATAATTTGGTTTTTTTTTAGCAATAATTAAGAGTGAAATTAGAAAAGTATAAATCAATCAAAATAATAATTGGCATTCTAATTAGATTTGCATGGTTAAAATAAAGAGATAATATATATGAGATGCAGGGAAGATTTTATGACAAAAATAAAAAATGGACGAATGTTAAAATAAGTGAAGTAGAGTATAAGAAAAGTAATTTTTTTATGGTATGACTCATTAAAAAATGTACAAAAATAAAAATGTGTTTGGCATAGAAATTTAAGGTTTAATGATTAAAATTAAAACTAGGTCAAATAAGAAAACTAGTTAAGAACACCAACCTATAAGCTCTCTCCCTCAATAGTCGCTAGCACCCAAGATGAAGAGATATAATAATCATGAATTTCTAGTATTTTCGGAGGCCTGTCAGTGATTAAGAACTCGATAATTGATAGTAAAAGTCTAGAGTTTAAATCTTTGTAAAAGGGTGGAGTTGTGAGAGGTTAGACAATGATAAAGCTATTTCTTGTTATGTTATAATTTTTTTGGTAATCTGGTGTAGAGTTATCATTTGATATAAAAAAAGAATTTGATTAGTGGACAGGTTAAAAGTGTATTTATTATATATTTTTATTACGTAATTTATACAAAAAAATTATACTAAAAGTAAAGTTGATTTAGCCACATGTTAAGGGTGCTTTTATTGTCCATTTTTACTATTAATTTGTATGAAAAATTATAAGAATAAATTTTATTTTCAACACTAATGTCACCTGCTGAAATATTTCAATTAAATGGTTAATAAAACTAAAATAAATTTTTATTTTTTCTATATAAATTAACGACAACCAAGTACAATAAATTTACTTTTAACTTGTTTTCTAAAGACATATATTAAAAGTTTTTTTAAAAAAACATGAATTTATGTGGGAGTACATGGGTGATGTTATTGTCACACTCTTAATTATCAATATTACATTTTTTTACTTTAATTAACTATTATACCTTTAATTTATTAAGAAATAAAAAAAAATGTAATGTAAAGATACAATAAATAATTATATTAGAAAAATGTAATATTAACTATTTTGAGTGTGACAATAACTCCATCCAAATATATTTCACCTTTTCTTCTATTAACAATCAAAAAAATCCTATAAAGACCCATTCAATTTCTGACCTGTCACATAGTCCATGCCAATCCTGAATGTCAATATTTCCCATAATGAACACAATAACTGAAGAGGAGACACAAGCCTCCTCCATTATATATACAGTTACATACACTCTCCAAAAACCCACCAAGCCAGAAAGTGAAGAAGACAGAAAGAGAAAGAGAGAATGGCAAAATCACCAGTAGGAAAGCACCCACATATGGCTTTTGGATGGGCTGCCAGAGACTCCTCTGGACCTCTGGTACCCTCTCCCCTTTCCATTTCTCCAGAAGGTGAGCACTTGACCCATCCATCCTCTTCTTTTTTAATTTATAAGTGATGTATGCATGTTTCTGCACTCACATGAGAGAAGATGAGAGAGAGAGAAGATGAGAGAGAGAGAAACCTCAAACACTACAACCATAACCGTGAGAGTTTTCCGGTGAGGGAGTGTCCAGACCAAAACAACTACCATAGCCTTAAGAGAAGTAACGCACGGGGATCAGAAAGGACGGCAGGACAGGAGTGTGGGAAGAACCAAAGACCAACATATGGATATGGTAAAGGGGTTCTGGAGCAAGCAACCTCCTTTTTCATCACAAACTTTCCAGAGGATCTGGAGATGGGAGATATGTGGCCAGCTTTCGTGAAATGCGGACGGGCAATCCAAGTTTTCATTGCAAAAAAGAGAGACAGATGGGGACGACGATTTGGCTTTGCTAAGTTCCTTGATGTGGCTGACCCGAAATCCATGCAGACCAAGCTTAACCAAATCAGATTTGGTGATCAATTCCTCCATGCAAATCTGGCTAGGTTCGCTCAAGGGGACAAACCGCTGGAGCAAAAGAGCAGAAGGAAGGTGCCACTGAAGGAAAAAGGCGATTTGTCATATGCAGAGGCTTTGAAAAGGGGAGTAAGTGAGAATCACGGACATGCTCATAGGAAGGAGTGGCAGAGGAAAAGGCAGGGGACTTCAGACAAGATTGAGAAAAACAACTGGTATGGGCTTGAGGTAAAGGTTGAGGATGAAGATTTAGAATGGCTAAGACAAAGCTTTGTGGGGTTCGCCAAGAGCCCTGAAATCATCTGCAATCTTCAGGAAAAGTTCTTAATGGAAGGTTATTTCTCAGCAAAACTAACACCAATGGGTAGCAATATGGTGTTAATCTCTTGTGAGGACAGTGATGAACTAAAGAATCTTGTGGAATCGGGGAGAGACTGGCTTGCACAGTGGTTCACGAACATCAAACCTTGGACTCCTGAGTTAGTTGCAACAGAGAGATTTACTTGGTTGAGATGCCAAGGTGTGCCACTACATATATGGAAGAGCAGCTTCTTTGAAACGGTGGCAAACCTCTTTGGGAAATTTATCTCCCTGGACAATAGCACTATAAAAAGATCTCGTTTGGATGTGGCCAAAATTTTAGTTTTGACACCTTCCCAAGCCAATATTCAAAGGGTGATAAAGGTTAAAGCCAGGGAGGCTATATTCCAGATCAGAATTTCTGAGGAGATAGGGGTTGATAATCTATTCTCCCTTCGTTCTGACTTTGTGTTGTGCAGGAATGAAGATTCGGAGGATGAAGAATGGTCAGAAGAATCAAAATGGGATGAAACTGGAAACGGAAATGACTGGGATGAATGGCAAGCTATACAAGATGATGACGAGAAGGACTTCATGGAAGTAGATGATTCAGGGAGGAAGAAACGGGGGACGTTGCCGGTGCCGGAGGTCGAAGTTGAAAAGGTGTCTGAAACCACGCTGACAGGAAGATCTGCATTTAATGCAAAAGATTACAATTCAAATTTGAAAGTGATGGTAAACAATGAGGGTACTTTCGAGGAGGATATTGAATCGGAGTCATTGGAAAATGAGAAAAGCAAATCCAAAGGCAGAAATGAGGTATTTGAACCTACCATCCTAATCAAGTGCAAAGAAGTAGGCAGAAATGCTCACCAACAAAATGCCAACAAACTGGTGTCTACGAACCACAACACCTCCCCATTGAATCTGCACAGTGTCAGTGACGTGGTGGGCCACGAGGCCAAAACAAAGAAAGGAATTCAACAATTGGGCCAAGAAAACTTGACCCATGAAACTAGCCAGGAGGGCTTGGGCTCACAACAAGGAATTAAAATTTTAAAAAGGATTACAACCCATACCAGGGAAGAAAAGGAAGACACAAAACAGGCAGGGGTTTTGGAAGACGCAAGAAGGGAAGGTGGAAATACAACTATTGTAAATACAACCATAGAGGAGGAGAAACGTACCCAACCATTCTGGGAGGGTCTAGCAAGCGATGATGAGATTCTCCAAGCAAAGGCAGATCGTCTAGCTCAGGATAAAGCCAGAAAAGGAAAGCGGATCAAGCAATCGAAGAGGAGGAGGAAATGCAAGATCACAGCTAGTACCAGTAACTCTAATTTGAAGAGCATTCACCAAACGGCCGAATTGGAAGAGGAATACAGCTACTCAACTTGTAGAAATGAAGGCAAAAGGAACTGGAAACAAGAAGCAGCAGAATTTTGGGAAATCGGGCTGCGGCTAGGATTGATCTATAAAGGCAATGTGGATGATCTCATTAGGAGAGTGGGTGAAATGGAAAGAAGAGATAGAATTGCCCTGGTAAAACAAAAGAAGAAGACAGTAGTAGCAGGGGAGGGAGTAGCAACAAATCCCAAATGAAGATCATCTCCATGAACATTAGGGGACTAGGGGGAAGTAACAAAAAAAGGGGTTTGAGGGAGTTAGCAAGAAAGGAGAGAGCGGATGTGATCTTTATTCAGGAGACTAAGCTTGAAAGGTTTGATGATAAAATAGCAAAATCCATTTGGGGAGCTGAGTTATGTGCATGGGTCGCAAAAGAAGCAAAAGGAAAATCTGGAGGAATTGCATGTGTGTGGAATCCAGATTCATTCAACATGGTGAAAAGAATTGAAGGTAGTGGTTTTGTTGGAATGTTTGGTTTCTGGGGAAAGGATAACGTGCCTTGCTTTCTTATAAATGTTTACTCTTCCTGTGATAAGAATGAGAAAAGAATCTTATGGGGCGAACTCACCGATTTAATAAAGGTTAATGGAGGAGGTAATTGGTGTATTGGAGGGGATTTTAATGCAGTGCGAGATAAGGAAGAAAGAAGAGGGAGATATACTGATGCTGTAGATATGAGAGGTTTCAATGACTTTATCTTGGATGCAGGCTTGGAGGAAATACCTATGGTAGGGAGGAAATTCACATGGTACAAATCAGATGGAACAGCTATGAGTAAACTTGACAGATTTTTATTCTCCACAGAATTCCTAATCAACTTCCCAAACTTGATCCAGCGAGGTCTGAGCAGAGACTTGTCAGATCACTGCCCAGTTCTAGTGAAAAGCCTGAATGCAGATTGGGGTCCAAAGCCTTTTAGAAGCTTGGATTGCTGGATGAATCATGAAGGTTTCGATGCTTTTGTTCGTGACAAGTGGAGTAGTTTTGAGATAGATGGGTGGGGTTGCTACAAACTAAAAGAAAAATTGAAGATGCTAAAAAAGGAGCTGAAAGCCTGGAATAAAGAAGTCTTTGGAGTTGTTGATAGAAACATGGATGCAGCTAGAGAGGAAATAAAGCAGTTAGATGAAAAAGAGGAGAACGAAGGTCTTACAAGCATGGAGATTGATAAAAGAAAGGAGAACTTCCACAAGTTCATGGAGTGGAGCAAGGCGAAAGACAGCATACTATTCCAGAAATCTAGGCAGAGATGGTTAAAAGAAGGTGATGCAAACACAAAGTTCTTCCATGGTTGCATTGTCAATAGAAGGAAGCAAAATGAAATCATAGGCCTTTATAACAATGGTGAATGGATCGAAGATGCTGGTGAGGTGAAGGAATTGGCAAGAAACTACTTCAAAGATAAATTTGAAGAAGAAAAGTGGGACAGACCTTCACTGGGAGATTTGCAATTCAAGAAGATTAGTGAAGCTGAAAACAATTTTTTAATCTCCAAATTCTTTACAGAGGAGATTGATGAAGCAGTGTGGGGATGCAATGGAGCCAAAAGCCCGGGTCCAGATGGCTTTAATTTCAATTTTATCAAAAAGGTCTGGCCAGTTATTAAGGAAGATGTGTATGCTTTTTTAGCAGAATTTCATGAAAATGGAAAGCTAGTCAAAGGGAGCAACGCTTCGTTCATTGTCTTGATTCGTAAAAAGGAAAATCCTCAGGGTTTTGGGGACTACAGGCCTATCTCCCTCATTGGTAGCATGTACAAAATAGTCTCTAAAATTCTCGCTAATAGGCTGAGAAGGGTGATGGATTCGGTGATTAGCCCTAATCAAACAGCTTTTATAGGAGAAAGACAAATTATAGATGGAATAGTCATCACCAACGAGATTATCCATGAAGCAAAGCAATCAAAGAAACCGATGTTGGTGTTTAAAGCAGATTTTGAGAAGGCATATGACAGTGTAAACTGGGAGTTTTTGGATAAGATGATGGAGAAATTAGGCTTCTCAACAAAATGGCGTGCTTGGATAAAAGAATGCTTGTCCTCAACCTCAGTGTCTTTATTGATAAATGGCAGCCCCACTAAGGAATTTACAGTATCAAAAGGATTGAGGCAGGGGGATCCTCTTGCTCCTTTTTTATTTTTAATGGTTGCAGAAGCCCTCAATGGGCTAATTACTAAAGCTACAGAGGAGAGATTGTTCGAAGGGGTTACAATAGGGGAGATGAAATTGAATATAACTCATCTCCAATTTGCAGATGACTCCATCTTGTTCTGTGAGGCTTCAGCTAAAAATGTATGGATGATTAAATGCATCTTAAGGAGCTTCGAATTGCTATCTGGCTTGAAAGTGAATTTCCATAAAAGTGCTTTGTATGGATTTAATGTAGGAAAGGGGGAATTATTGGCTTTAGCTGACAGCTTGAATTGTTTAGCAGGCTCAGCTCCTTTTAAATACTTAGGTGTGTTGGTAGGGGCAAACCCAAGGAAATTATCTACTTGGAAACCAGTCATTGATTGTTTACGGAAAAAGCTATCCCTGTGGAGATGTAATTCACTGTCTTTTGGTGGACGCATCACTCTACTGAACTCGGTCCTTTCATGCATCCCTGTGTATTACTTCTCTTCAATTAAGGCTCCTAAACAGGTACTCAACCTTATTTCTTTAATCCAACGCAGATTTCTTTGGGGAGGGAATGAAGAAAATAAAAGGATCTCTTGGGTTAGTTGGGATAGAGTCTGTAGAAGTAGAAGAGAAGGTGGAATAGGGGTCAAAGATGTTGGGTTGTTTAATTTAGCCTTATTAGGAAAATGGAGATGGAGACTGCTACAGGAGAGAGGAACTTTATGGAGGAAGGTGATGGAGGCAAAGTACAAACTCACTCTAAAAAATGAGTGGGAGGGGCAAGAATGGGGAAGTAGGTGCTCACCATGGTGGAGAGACTTGTGGAATCTAGATAGGAACATTGAGTCTAGGAGAAACTGGGTGAAAGAAGGAATGTTAAAATCAGTAGGGGACGGAAGTGATACTTTGTTCTGGCATAACATCTGGGTTGGGGAGATGCCACTTAAGGAGAAATACAATAGATTATTTGGGATCTCTATAGATAAGGAGGCTGTCATTGCAAAAATGGGTAATTGGAATCAAGGGGTGTGGGAATGGACATGGAAGTGGAGACGAAATCTTTTTGCTTGGGAAAATGAACTTTTGCAGGAATTAATCAAGGAACTACAAACAATCTCGCTAAAACAAGGACAGCAGGATGCATGGACTTGGAAATATAACCAAAAAGGCAAGTACACAGTGAAGACAACATACAAACATTTATGTCAACAACACATTACAGGTTCTACTTCTGGCCAAAGGTATGATTTGGTATGGAATAAAAATGTTCCTCTCAAAGTGAGTGCATTCGCATGGAAATTATTGCAAAACAGAATCCCAACAAAGGACAACTTGAAAAGTCGGGGACTGAAAGACCATGATGATGACAAATGTGTGCTATGTGGAGTAGAAGTAGAGAGCGTGGAACATCTTTTTTTCAAATGTGAGGTTTCATGGAGCATATGGGCCTCATGCTATGACTGGTGGAACCTCAAAACAGTTGGCCAAGGTAAAGGATGGATACATATTGAGCAGCACACTGGCTTGGTATCCAGAGGACTCATGAAGGAAATGTGGATAGTAATCTGGTTTGCAACTATTTGGTCCATTTGGCTGTGGCGTAATCAGAAAATATTCAAAGATGAAGCCGACAGTTGGGAGCGGGTTCTTGAGCTAATAGAGTTCAGGTCGTTTTACTGGTGCAAAACAACATTATGCCCAGATCTTGTGCAAGACAAATGGCGCTCCAAACCAAAAGAAGGACACAAGAGATTGCAACAATGAGTTTGAGACTAATCACCATGTAATGGACCATGGAAAGAGGTTACTCGCTGGTAGAAGTAAAGATGGATACCTACCTCCTAAAAGGCAAGTAAATGGTTGTCAAGCCGGTGGCTGATTACAATCCGTGTTGCCCGGCATATGTATGGGATCTTTAATTGTGAAAGCCTTTATGAATTTGTAGTGTAATGGGTTTGGAGTACCCCCTGTACTCCATTAATTCAATAAATTTTATTTGCTGATAAAAAAAAAAAGTATGTTATGATGCATCAAAGCCCACTTTGCAAGTTTTTTTTATTTTTATTTTTTTCTATTCTTTTCTTTGATACAAGTAACTTTATTTATAG